GAAAGACAATAACTACAACAAGGTTTCGTACTGGTACGGTAGTGGGAGGGAGGGAGGAGAGAGAGAGAGAGAGAGAGAGACAGACAATGATGGACAAAACAAAAGAGCATGGGGTAGCTGCTGAGGTGCGTACGCCTCTTTAAAAAGCTTTATGAAGCAGCTTCTAGCGGGTCAGGACAATAATGCTACCCATCAATTTAACAGATGGGAAAACGGATTGGATACACAAGATGCCTGACAGCTTTGGATAAAAGCGGGAGAATATATAGGGGTAGGTGCCTCTTTCCACTGTTCATTGGACAGCTAGAGAGATGTGAACTAATTGGTCCTTGGTTCCCACCATCATTTATTTAAATCCTGGCCCAAGGTTTAGCAGGCCTCTTGCCCCATGTTTAGATGAACCCACGCTCCCTCCTTGTAGTTCTGGAGTATAAGAATTGTACTTCTAGGTTGCTTTATGTTAATTTGGTGCAACTTGCAGCCAGCATCCAGGATGGATAAAAGGCCAAAGGGATAGTGATCAGAAAATAAGAAACATGGGATTTTGCTATGGACCTGGGTCTATGGAAAAGGGGTGACCTGAAGTCCTTGCAGCCTGCAGTCCCTGTCTGTCTGTCCCTTCTGTCCCCTTTGCTGGGGGAAAGGTGAGAAGATTCAGCAGAGCAAGCTGAATCCTTTGGGGTAGGCACTGGAGAGTCTATCCTGAGTTATGAGCCATATGATAGATGTCCAGTGTAGGGTTTACAGAACCTACCTAAAATGCCTGGCATGGGAAGATGGGGCAGATAGTGCGCCTATCCAATGTTAAATTTTAATAAAGTTGCAGCCTGCCATTTAAAATCTCTCTCTGTGTCTGTTCTCATTTTCTTGTGTGTCCTGATCAAGCTTCAGAGGATGCTTGACTGACTCATTTCAGCACCTGGCCCTCCCTCTATTCCCCATGGGCCAAGCCTGTTTCAGGCCAGGGACAGACAGGAAAAAAAAAATCACATTGAAAGGATAGTATAAATGTTACATGCCCTTGGTTCACTGGCCCTATTCTCAAGCTTCTCTCCTCTTTGGTAAGGGGAGTGGGGAGGGGAGGAGAAGAATCACATTCCATCCCCATAGCCTACCAGAAAAGGAAAAGAACCACCAAGCCTGGGTCCCAGAATAATCCATAGAAGATGATCCTTGCTGCTTTGTCTCTTCCTCTTCATCTGTCAGGCAGGGGAAGGGAAGATTCCCTCCCATCTCCTCGGAGAGGAATCGGCAGCGCAAGTGGTGTGCATGAGTGAGCAGGGAAATATTAGAAGAAGAGGGTCCCGAGGGAGTTCCAATAATCAGGATGGAGATACGATAGTGGTAACAGTAAGTGGGGTCAGGGTAGGTGAATAGCTAGAGATGGTTTTCTTCAAAAACTGGAGAAGCATGTGGTGGAACAGAGAACCTGGGAGCCTACTGCTGGCCTCAACTGCCTGCTGTCCCTCCTTCTGTTAATCATCTACCTGCAATGCCATTACTATATTAGTTACTTTACTTGGAAACAGAGAAACATCGGAAGATAGGGCTGGAAAACTCCCATCTAGGATACTGCCCAAATACATTTTGCTTTGTATTAATGCTCTATTTTGCATATTTGCTTCAGTACGGAAGTCTCTCTTAAAAAACTCTGCAGGGAAGAAAAACTTACATTGCATGTCAAAAGCTGTGAATATCTGCCTTATTTCACTATGGTGTAGTTGTGCAGCCTTCTTTGTACTCATAAGTTTTAAAAATTCTTCAAGTAATATACCTAGAAAAATGGAAAATGTGAACATACCTCCCACAAAAGCCCCCTCTGCTTTATTTGCCCACTGCAACTATGAATGACTCAGGCAATATAATTGTAACTGCTTTATTATTAATGATAAGAACAAGAATTGAAACAATTACAGTATCTTTCATATTGTTAGGTTATGTGAAAATATTCTACTAGAGATTTGCAAAATTCAACTTCTTCTCAAATTATATTTCCATTTACCTGGTCTTTTTGGCTACAATGCCATCTTGCCTTAGACTGGGAGAACAGGACAAAGAAGTGGTCTCTCCAAAGTCAATAGCACTTGCATTCCACAAATAAAGGCATAGAGTGTATTGCACAAACAATGTAGCTGGCATCATTCCCAGCACTGTCTAAACCCAATGAAATGCTCTGTAGCCTCAGGTTTGGTTTCCTATGAGTCTCCTAATAAAATTGCATGGTAACACTGGATTGCTTATTACAGATTGTGTAAATGTACTTAGAAACAAATGTATCTGATTTTTTTAGTGAGAGTTAAATAAAAGAGGTTGGAATGCAAATATAGTTTGTCAAATCCAACCCTAATTAACTGTCTGGTATTTCTGAAAGCAAAGTACTTGTATAAAAAAAAGAAATCTTAGGAAAAAATGTATGCCCTAGTTTTTAAAAATAGAACAAGTCAAGACAGAAATAAATGTAATTTCAACTCAGAATTCTCATGTAGGCTAATCTTGTGCCTTATACCTGTGAAATATACAGATTTAGACCTATTTTATACAATTGAAATGATTTATAAAGGACGATGTCACTGTATTAGCTAGCTTTTTTAAACAAATATAACAAGACCTCTGTGGTTTCTTTTTCTTACAGTTTTTCCATATCAATTTATTTCTAATATGGTTCAGAAGCATAGCTCCTTCAGCTCCACCTACTGTCTCAATTCAAACCTTAAACTACAAGTTCTCAGGTTCCCAATGTTTTTTTCATTACTGCTTCTTGAAAACATCACATTCTCAGTTTCTAGAATTATAGACACATGCTGGTTTCAACTACTAGGTTCTGTATATACACAATTTCTTTAATAACAAGGGATGCCTAAACACATTGAACTTGCCTGCCTGAGCAACATCCCTTTCAATTGGATAACTACGGAAGTAAAACCTTAGAAAAGCAACAAGGGCTGCAATCCATTTATTTATTTTCTCTTTCAAAGTGGCACATAAGACCGGAAAATTATAGTATACAATTTTCCTGTTAAAGAACGACCCCTACAGTACTGTGCTGCCCATTCATTGATCTCTTAGCACTGGCTTTTTATCTAATATAACTACAGAGCACAAAACTACCTCAATACATAAGAAGCCACATTTCTAGGTAGAAATAAAGTGTTGTCTCATCTGTCAACTGGACACTTAAAAATCCATAATCTAAAAATCCAAGTAAACAGTTAACTTTATGCTTGTGTCTGGACTTAGTTTTGCAGATAAGACTCCACTGCTGTTTATCAATCCAACAGACAAAAAATGGAACGGTGGTAGAGGGACATTGTCAGACAATTTTCATCACTTACCAATACATGCTTTGCTTACTTCCTGCATTTCTCTCAACTTACATTATGAAAACAGACTAGCCAGATTTACTTTTCTTTCTAGTCAGCTTCTGTCTATTTCATTTTCAGATTCTCATACTCTAGCACAATGCTGCTGTATTTGGGATGCATGTACTGCAGAAGTGCATTTATTTGTTAAAAGCCACCTCTTTCCACTTACAATTTAAGAGACCATTTCAATTCATCTATAAAGTCTTCCTCTTTAAAAAAAAAAAAAAAAAAAAAAAACCTCAATTTTGAGTCAATACATCTGCACCAAAGCAGGGATGGTATAGTATATACCTAAGGTGGTTTTTACCAGGTAAAATAATGGGCTTTTACCGCTCAGGGAAAAAACTAGTTAGCCCCAGTTCTAGGCATTTTCTGTTTTAAAAACTGTTCCATTAATGCACACTGTATTATACTTAGCTTTAGTTACATATTCAAATTGTGGTTACACAAGGCAGTAGATTCAGAAATTAATTTAGGGTTCTACAAATAAAAAGTACAACTGCAGTAAGGGTAATACTAATATATGTAACATAATACTGAAGTTTGGAATGTCTCTATACATTTTGGTTTGGTATTTTCTCAAGGAATTTATATGCCATGACTCATATTTCGGTTTTCAATATTATATAAATATTATATATGCCAAAAAAACCATTAAATATTTTTTCAGTAATTTTCATTAGTATATTCTAATAATTATTTTCTTTTTCCCAGTTTAAACTGGTATTTACCATTGCCTGCCCTAAATTAGTTTTTCCTGGAAAACTGCCAGCCTTGCACCAAAGACAAAAGCGAATTTTCATCATGAGTCCCAAGAATTTAGCAATTAAATAATCCTGACTCATCAACAGCCTCTGTAAATCTCTGTAATTAATCTGTAGCAAATAAATAAATAAATGAAATAAATTACATAAAAATAAAACTATGTAAAAGTTCTTTTAAAAGTCTTTATAACCTAATTTTTAGATTACAGAAGTCATGAATGAGAACAGACTAGAGAGAAAGGAAAGCCTGTTTGCATATTACCTGAATTTTTTTGTTGCACTGAGGCCATTACTGAATCCACCTCCACCTGGAACAGAGAAAATATACCAGGCAATATTGTTGAGCCTGCTTACACCATGTGGTGAATTTGATCCATTATAGTCATTTCAATTTGTATCAACTGTAATTAATGGAATTCAATTCTGATCACATAACTATTTAACAGCATATCTTGTAAAATCATCTGCAGCATTAGTTCAGTACTATAGCTTAAATATAAATACTTCCCCTCCCATTAAACATTTGTGTGTCTATGACCAGAAAAGAAGCCAAAGGCTATGTCTACACTACAGAGTTAAGTCGACGCAAGTTACTCCGACAATCAGAAACCACTATAATTACATCGCTTGTGTATGTTCACACAATGCTCCTTGTGTCGGCAGAGCGCATCCACAGTTGGTGCTCTAGCATTGAAAGAGCAGTGCACTGTGGGTAGCTATCCCACTGTGCAACGTGCCACCTTCTGCTGCTAGGAGTTGTGGGAATGGATTGCAGGGCATTATGGATGGGGGTTTACCATCCCAAAGATGCAGTTTTTTCTGTCCCATCATTCTATGGGCTTCTGACTACCCTCTGCACCGTTTTTCAAGTCCCTGTAAACTGTGTGCCCGCCATCTCTGCCCAAAAACCATGGATCCTGCACTGCTCACCAGTTTTGTGATAATGGTTATTAACACAATGCAGCTGATCATACAATATTTTCTGAGCTGTGAATCCAAACAGGAATCTGCGGTGCCTGCCCTGCTGGGTGCCACGGAAAGAAACAATTCCAGATTACTTTTGGCATTCATGGAATAGCTGCACACGGTGGACTGTTGCTATTGGTCTCAGAAAAAAAAAGCACTGAGCGGTGGAATCACATTGTTATGCAGGTATGGTATGACAAGCAGCAGCTGCAAAACTTTTGGATGCACAAAGCCACGTTCCTGGAACGGTGTACGGAGCTCGCCCCTGCCCTTCCACAAGGACACCAAAACGAGAGGAGCCCTCTCAGTGGCAAAGTGTGTGGTGATCACTGTGGGGAAGCTGGCAACTCCAGACTGTTACTATCAGTCATGAATCAGTTTGGAGTTGGGAAGTCCACCACGGGCGTTGCGTTTACACAAATGTGCAGGGCCATTAATCACATCCTGCTATAAAGGGCTGTGTTTCTGAGAAATGTGTGAGAAATGGGGGATGGCTCTGTGACAATGGGATTCCCTAACTGCAGCAGGGTGATAGACGGCACGCATATTCCAATTTTGGCCCTGGACCATCTTGCGATGGAATACATCAATAGAAAGGGCTGCTTCTCTATGGTACTGCAGGCACTTGTGGATCACCAGGGTTGTTTTGCTGATAACAATGCGGGGTGGTCAGGAAAGATTCATGATGCACACACCTTCAGGAATATTGGCATATACAGAAAGCTGCAAGCAGAGACTTTCTTTCCAGACCAGAAAATTCCAGTGGGGGATATTGAAATGCCCACAGTGATCCTGGGAGACCTAGTCTACCCTTTACTCCCATGGCTCATGAAGCCTTACACGAGAAACTTTGACAGCAGCAAGGAGTGCTTCAACAACTGGTTGAGCAGGTGCAGAATGACTGACGAATGGGTGTTTGACAGATTAAAAGCTCACTGGTGCTGCCTTTATGGCAGGTTAGACCTTAATGAGGAAAATATTCCCATGGTCATAGCAGCCTGCTGTACTCTGCATAATATTTGTGACGGTAAGGGGGAAAAGTTTCCCCACGGGTGGAGCATGGAGGCAGATCAGATGGCAGCTGATTTGGAGCAGCCAGATACCAGGGCTATTAGAGGGGCTCAAAAAGGGGGCTA